TCTCTCTCTCTATCTATCTATCTGTCTATCTATCTATCTATCATAAACAGAGGGTTGCTTTGAAGTAGGAGCCAGCCTGAAGAGCTGTCCGCTAGCCGGAGAGAAGGGGATGGAAGGTGTGAGCTGACCGAGCCAATAGGAAGGGATCCCACAAGGTCCTGCTTCAGGAGAAGTGCCAACATCTCGACCCACACCCACCCAGGGTGGTAGGACTATACCACTGGCCGGGAGAACATTCTCCATGTACAGTTCTTTAGAGCCTTCCTGTTTTAACCATCCAACTTTGTGTGCAAGCTAACATATGAATCCAAAAGCAGAAGGAAGCTGCTAATAAGTCCTCTGAGTTCAAACCTGGCAGAAGCTCATTCATGGTGTTCTTCCTTAGGCAATATATCCCGCCAATTAAAGAGAAGCCATCATGCACGCGCATGCACACATACAAACTATATACTATTCAAAGAACCCACTCTGCAGCTGCTTCTATCTGGCACAGCCAACGTTCCGACTCTTTTTCAAACACAGATTTTTGCAACCATTGTTTCTTATACAAATGGTCTCCTTCTTCCTTAAGCCCCTGACAGGCTGTCTTGGATGCTTCTGCTAGAGAGGTTGCACTTCCCTTCAACAGCTCCCCAAAGCCAATACACAGATTTTGTTGAGAAGAACAGCTTGCTTACCTTGGTAATGTTCCAGACAACTCTGTGGCAGTCTCTCTGCAGAAGGAGGAGGAGGAGAGAGAAAAAAGATACACAGAAGGGAAACTTTAGTTAGTATTTAAAAGAGCTTCATCTTAATGACTTTGGGAAGGTTAATGAGAACTTATGACATACATTAAAAGCAGCCAGTTTTAATTAGGGATGCTTCTAAACTTCTCATCATCCAAATGTCTGCCCAGATTTTTGACATTCCAAAGTGGAGCAGATGCATTAGGAATATTCGCAGTATTATCATTGCCACTGTACTGTCATTGTTGTGATTCCAAATTGTATGCAGAAGGCTGTATGGGCATAGTTGAACTCCACCTGAACGTTTTGGCCAAAGACAGATGCCTTTTCTGCTGTGTTTTTACCAATGGGCGCAGGTGGTTGTCTGAACTGATAAAACACAGAGGGAGGGAAGGAGGGAGGAAGGAAGGACCTGGATGCTTCAGAGTTGTCAAGATAGATTCTTTTTCTGGGGTGTCTTACATCTTCTGCATGATTAGTCATGTTGCACTATACAACTAACTACAGTAGTTTTTATTTTCCATGAGCTTTTGTGTGTCCAAGCACGCCTCTCCAGATGAATGGAATTGCCATATTCCTTCGATGGAGTATAAAAGTGTATGTACTCTGCTCAGTGACATGACCACTCCATTCATTTGAAGAAGTGTGCTTGGCCACACAAAAGCTTATGAAAAATAAAAGCTAGTTAGTTGCTGGATAGGTTCTACATGACTACTACTGTATAGATGAGCGGTTTAGGTCTCTGGATGCAAAGCCAGAGATTGGGAGATTGATTGTTCCTCTTTAACAGGGGGTGGACTCAATAATCCATAGGGTCCCTTCCAGTTCTGCAGTTCTAAGATGGTGATGATTCCTACTATAAATTGTTATAACAGACTAAGTTGGACATGCCACATTACTTTCTGCACTTGTATAATACTTGTACATGTTTTATAAAACCACACAGCTTTGCTGCAAATCATACTATACATACATACATACATACATACATACATACATACATACATACATACATACATACATACATACATACATACATACATACATACATACATACATACATACATACATACATACATACATATAGCTAGCTAGCTAGCCAACTACATAGACAGCCCACCCTATATCTAGATAAGAGATAGGCATGAAACACAACAAACTGCTTTATTTGAAACTGTCAGTACGGCACCAAAGGTGCTATGCTGGTTTCTTTCCCACCCTGGCCGGCTGGCTCACTCACCATTCTTTGCATGCCACCGGGGTCCTTCTTCACCAGTGGTGCTCCAAGCTGGGCATGAGCTCCACCAGCTCATCCCTGCCTCCTCTGGCAGCCGACCACTCATCAGCTCTATGGGGAGAATCCCCATCCTGCATTCTCATTGGAGTGGTCAGCTGCCTGAGGAGGAAGGTATGGGACAACCAAGCTCCTGCACAGATTGAAGAGCCACTGGAGAAAAAGGAGCCACCAAGTAGCATGAAATGACTGCCATCTAGATTCTGTCGATCAGAGGCTGCTGCCTCTAGAATACAGAGACATTGCTTAATGCAAATAACTATCAGTTAACCGATGGACCATTCCTCCTTCTGTTATCTTCCAAGGAATCTGCTAAGCCAATAGCCATTGCAACATTTTGATACTCAAAAGGCAATCTGCCCCTATAATATCTTCCCTGCCAGTTTTGTAGGGATGCCGAGTTATTGTTAGAGAAATCATGTTGAATTAGATTAGTAACTCCCAAACTTGAACTACTCTGTATATTTTTGGATTTCAACTCCCCAGGAAACCCAGTCTCCATAGCCCATTTTCAGGGATTGGAAAGCTACTCTGAAGAAGAACAAACTTAGTAATAGGCAGAAGCTATTCACTTCTTGTTGCTAAGCTATGGGAGCCTTCCATATATCAACACATTCATTTTCCTTATGATTCATATGCTCTACTTGCCCACTAGATTTAGGGTGCCATCAAGCATGTCATTTCCAATTCGTATCTAAAGCTTGGACTACCTGCTGGACAATTTTGGCTACAAAATGATGTCTGTTGTCTGAATTTAGCCCTTGCCATGGTTTCCCAAAATGCGGCAGTATGTCCTGTAGGGGGCGCTTTACTACTTCTGATGTTATTACTGACTTCCCCACCCAAGCTAGGTGACACTTATACAGCGGTGCCTCACTTTACGATTGCCCCGTTTAACGGCGAAACCACATTACGATGAACTTCTTGCGATCGCAAAACGATGTTTCCTATGGGGGAATTTTGCTTTGCAATGATCGGTTCCCTGCTTTGGGAACCGATTCTTCGCAAAACGACGATTTAGAAACAGCTGATCGGCGGTTTCAAAATGGCCACCAGGTAAACAAAATGGCCCCCGCTGATTTCTGAGACAGATTCCTCGCTGCACAGGCAGCGAAAATGGCCGCCCTATGGAGGATCTTCGCTGGACGGTGAGTTTACAGCCCTTTGGAATGCATTAAATGGGTTTTAATGTGTTTCAATGGGTTTTTTATTTTTGCATTACGACGTTTTCGTTCTACAGCGATTTCGCTGGAACGAATTAATATCATAATGTGAGGCACCACTGTACATAACTTTCCACAGTCTGTCCAGGAATTGCAGTCCCACAATAGCCAAATTGGAAATTACAGTCAGATTTACTGTAATGGCCAGAAATTGGCCTGGAATTCCTCTTATGTCTTCCATATTTTGTCTACACTAGACTGCAAATTCTGCTGAAACCTGTATACAGTGGTGCTTCGCAAGACAAATTTAATTCGTTCTGTGGGTAATGTTGTCTTGCAAAAAATTCATCCTGCGAAACGCGTTTTCCCATAGGAATGCGTTGAAATCTAATTAATGCGTTCCTATGGGCAAAAAAAGTCTGAACAAAGTCAAATTTGGTTTACAAAGGGCTTATTAAGTGCTCTTAAAAGCCATACATATTGTGCAGATGATTTTAAAAAATTCAATAAAAAACTTTTTAAACATCATAGAAAAACATTTAAAAATCAGCAAACATGAGGCAGGAACAAAAAAACGGAAAACATTCTTCTTGCGAAGCAGGGCCATAGGAACATTTGTCTTGCGAGTCATCAACCCCCCCATTGCCAAAACCATTTGTCTTGCGAGTTTTTTGTCCTGCGAGGCATTTGTATATATACTTGCCTCTCCCTCCCTCCCTCTCTCTCTTGCATGCTCTCTCTCGCTTTATGTGTGTGTATATGAACGCTTACCTTCTGCTGTGAACAAAAAGAGCTGCTGATTCACATACATCTGCAGCAATCCATATATCTAATTGCATTCGCATCAACATGTCACCATTCTGGTAGATCACATTCACACCTCTAGCATTACACATGGCAGTAGGGTAATGACTTTGAACATCATGATAAAATCAGGACCCACCAGTTTTACGAGCAGAAGATGGTTGCATCAAAATAGCAATAGGGAAAGCCCAGTGTACTCGTTTGATGCCAAACATTGAAAAAAAGAGAAAAAGATCAATCTGCAGGTATTCATTCATTCAATTTTTATACCATCCCTCTGATCAGTGGTCACTCTGGGTGGTTTACAACAGAAAAAAAAACCAGAAACATGCTGTAACAAAGTGCTACAAATAAAACTACCTTGTATTAAATAACAAGAATATGAAAAATTAAAAGCAGTTTAAAAATAGACCAAACAGGTGGCAATAAATATAAAAGACTGATACTCCCACAGATCTTAAGTTGGTTGACTCTGGTAAATCTGCCGGAATAAAAATGTTGTAAGATGTTTCTTAAAATACAACAAAGAGGGAGACAGGTGGATTTCTGGTGGTAGGACATTAAAGTGCTTTATTCCACAATGGTTCCCAACACTGGGCCTTCGGATGTTCTTTGACTACAGCTCCTAGAAATTCTGGCCAGCACAGCTAACAGTGAAGGCGCTGGGAGTTTTAGTCCAAGAACATCTGGGGAACCAAGGTTGGAAGCCACTCTTCTACCAGGCCATTCATATCAGCTGTCCCCCCAAAACAACATCTCCAAGTTATGCTGAAGCTGCTTCCCGAGATACAACCAGACCATGAATGCAGTCAACTGATGGTCAGCAGACCAACCACATCCCTCTTACTCTAGGAAGTACAGCAAGTTAAGATGGCAGTGGTGGTTGTGGTGGTACCACCAGAATGGTTTCCTGTTCTTCTGGAGCACACACAGAGACGGGGAGGAAGAAATACCGTATTTTCCTGTGTATAAGACTATACTTTTGTCTAAAATCTTTAGACAAAAAATCGAGCGTTGTCTCATACATGGAAGTAAGCTGAGGAGAGAACAAAAATAAGTGGAGGGGAAAGCAGGGATCAAAGCGATCCTGCAGTGCTTTGATCCCTTTCGCCCTACACTTGCTAAGCCCCACTTAGATTTCTTAATTTTGGATTAGAAAAGCAGGGGCATCTTATACATGGGGGCATCTTATACACAGAAAAATACGGTAACTTCTTTCTGGAACTGCTTTCTATTAGTGATAATTACCTAAATTCTGGTTCTCTTTGATTGACTTGAAATCTAGTTTCTTTTAGTAACTGCAAATCATGTAAAGAGCTGAGAGAGGTCCAGTGTGCCACAATCTTTCCACAAGCATATATCTGCCAGAGTTACATAGTATATTGTTGTATATGCTTCCATTGGTGGTTTTTTTCCTCCATGTATGGTATCTGTTCTCAGTATAACAAAGCTGACAGCTATGTGCTTCATGAGTAGAATCTGAAATAGTGGATCTTTACTAAACCACTAACAATTAAAAATCAAGATTTCTTCATCTACTTTTTAGCAGGCTGGGCATTACGCACTTGAGTTTTGGGTGAAAGTCAGGAAATCCAAATATAAGTCTTGCTAGACACTGAAACCACATATGATCAAACATCCACTTAATGTAACATTAAAAGATGGTGTTTTCCTTGCTCTCCTCCTACGACCAAAAGCCAAACCTCATTAGAGGAAAGCGAGTGTCA